CTACTTGAGTTTCTATCGTGAGCAGCTTTATTATTTGATATTTTTTCTCTGAAACAATATAACGGTAGTGCAAATCGCTCATCTGACGTTGTCCGTATTCATCAGCACTAACTCACGTCTCAATTAGACGTTGCTGCCTTGCCTTACCCATAGTTGAAGGAAAGGTGACGTTGAATTGAATATAGGACAAAAGATCTTGATTGTTCAATTCTTTGGCGAATGATAGTACACATCTAGCCATGCAACAATCCGATAGTTCGGTCTGAAAATTTGATGCGACCGAACGTGTTCGGACGAACATTGCAAATACCATGATTAATATTATTGTCATCCGAGATATCGGCGAGCATTCTGCTGAGAAACTATTAGGACAAAGTACCATAAACCTTATACTCGAATTAAGGGTGCAACTTTCTGTCTACTTTATTTGCACAGTGTAGAAAAGCATTTTTGCATAAAAACAAGGCCACATTAGTAAAGTATGCTACAGAGGCCACATTAGTAAAGTATGCTTTAGTTAGAGAGTAAATCGAAATAATGGAAACTAAAGGTACTTTGACTTCCTGGAATAAAGTAAACATAAAGTTACTACTCTAATTCAAACTTTTCTTTACATGACAATCTACGGCTACGGCGTATTACTAGTAAAAGTAATGCTGAAAAGTATCCCTATTACCAGTAATACTCTCGTTATTACTGTTGCTGTAATAGGAATATTCGTAAACTAGTATACTTTTCAGTAAAGCAATACGAGAAAAATCTTTTTTCAAATGAATAATCAAAAGATTTCCTAACGTGTTCTTGGATGAATATTTTTCTTGTATTACTTTACTAAAAAGTATACTAATTTTATGAATATTCCTATTACCAGCAACAATAATACTGTCAGTATTTACTGTTACTGGGAACAGGAATGCTGTTCAGTATTACTGTTCCTAGTAATAGGAGTACATGGGCAAATGATATTCATGTGCAGCATAGTTCTCTTTTGTTTTGGTTTTGATTTTTTTCTCATTTGTGTGAACTGTTGAATGTCTGTACTGTTAGTTTCTTACATGTTTTTTCGATAAATGAAGTTGTAACAAGCAGATATTTCATATAAAAAATAATCAGTTCTCTACACTATAGTGCACACTAATTTTGAAAACATTGCATCTTGTACACACTTCGTCAGATTCACGTTAGCAATATTGTTTTTTTGGATCATGTATTATATCACTTGTTTAAGGAGCATTGAAGTATCGAAAAGTTGTCACTTGATGACGAGAGGATTCATCACTGCCTTTTAAAAGTCATCTGTTAAAACGGAGTTTTAATTGCGAAAGATTGTTTGGCGATTGTCATTCACTGATAGGATCTGGAAAAGATTCTTTTACGATCTTTTACGCTGTAAAAGTGACTTAAACAACAGAAAAACGGTGAAATTTGCAAAATGAAGTTAATTTAAGAAAGAGTTTAAAATCGTTTTACACTAAATGAGGTGGTCGTTTTTAGTTGTATGATAAATACCACAGCAAACTGATGTAATCCCGTAAATTCATAGAAAAACCTGTGAAGTTTACACGGTTACGGCGTGATGAAAGAGACGACTGAAACCTCAACGGGTGAACCGATTCAGCTAAATCATAAGTCTTAAGGATTGAAAAGATGCACTCCCTACTGGATCTGTTAAAAACAATTTAAAACCACTATAAGTACGGTTTTTAAAAAACCGTCTAGTTAAACTGCAGCATGTGAACAAATGTGTTTTTCAGAGGATCTCTAGAAAACTAACAAGAAGGATTTTTAAAAAAGATATTTTTCGACTATAGATCGCAGTTTTAGTGTCAAATCAGTTTGTTAGATACAGAGCGAGCTTCTAAGTAAAAAAAAATAGCAAATCTAAGAATTTAAAATAGGTTTAAGTAAACTTTCAGTGATTTTCCACAATATGCTGAATTTAACCCAATTTCTTCTTACTTTTTTTCATTTTGCTTCAACTTCGAAGAGGTCCGCTAAAACACAGCGTTCTCTATACTACCGTTATCACGTTTTCAAAAGACAAAATGAGGATAAAGATTCGGCCAAAATCAGAAAATTAAAAGGGCAGAAGTGAAATGAATCGTAAAAACTTAATAACATAATATGTGAATTCCTTTTCGGGGGTAAAATGCATCTAACTAACATTGTAGACTATTGCATCCATCTGTTGTTTCTGGATTACGCCGGTCATTAAAAATCATCTGAGTTCTGCTTTTAATTTACAAAAAAAATTCTTACGATGTTTTGTTTTACTGCTGATCAGAGCCCTGCAGGTTGCCAGTATTTGGCAACCTATAACCTAACCTATAAAAAATTTCACAACCTAATCCTAACCTAACCATTGAAAAAAAAATAGAACAACCTATAACCTAATCTAGCCTATAACTTTTGCAACCTAATCCTAACCTGATCTATAGCTTTTGCAACCTAATCCTAACCTAACCTATAGGTTAGGTTAGGTTAGGTTAGGTTAGGATCGATCTGCAGGGCTCTGCTACTAATAGAAAACCTAGTGAATTTTAAATCCAGATATTTTAAATGTATGTTGCAATCGATAACAATAATATTTTCTCTCTCAGTGTTTTTTTAGATCGGCTTCGGGTGTGAAGCCGATATTATTCAGCTTGCACCTTATGAAATCAAGTTAGTTAATTTGTGGAGCATCCAAATTGGACGAAGAATCATTAAGCAGCAGTTAGACAACTACTGTATTAATCTGACTGCAGTCCACAAAGATTATGACGATCAAGATTGTCCGTCGGAATATGTAATCAAAGAAGAAAAAGAAAGATTTCAGAGAAAAAGGTAAAAAGCGGTAAATTATTATAATTCAATATAATGCATTTTTTTCTCTTTTCTCTTTGTAAACTCTGTTCAAGCAGTTGGAAAGATCAACGGTATATGAGGCTCGATATTCATAACTTATTGTATCTGAGCGAACGTATCCCTTATGATTTGTTACAAATGTTCCCATCAACAATTTTGAACTGGATACAACAGTCATTCTATCTTGTGATAACACGCACAACAAATCAAACAGAGAGAATCAATGACCTTATCCATTAGCGAGAAGAAAACAGGTTCTCATATGTTAATAAAGAATATCGTACATCATTGCAACAAACGAAGAGAGTAATCATTGATAATGACGATGATCATATCCAGATGAAACGATAATGCAATGTTTTCTAATCATGCTGCCTTTTTACTAACGTTTGAGATATGTTCTTGTTTTTTAGTGGTAAATATGATGTTCAATCAACTGCTCGACAAGCATCATCATCGCCAGTATAAATCAACAAACACCCAGTAGCTTAATGCACATGGAAATAAACTGACAATCGAGACAGAGCAAACAGCAACATAAACCAGAATTGTTACGAATTCAATGATATGTACCATTGGGGCCATACACTTACGAAGGGCTCAACATAATTGAAACAGCACTCTGTTCGTTATAAGAAAAATACTTATAATAAACTTCAATCCTAGTACGACTGAAGTTTATTATACGTATTGTTCAGTTGAACTGATTTCTTTCAGAATTAACTATGTTCAGTTTTGTACAATATAAAGATTTGCATTTGTCTGAAAACGTACTCAGTTCCTTATAATGTCTCTTGTATAATAAAACTCTTGATGCATATAACACTGTCAGCCTGTAAGAGATACATGTCGATATAGATTAATAAAATCGACACATACAAATATGTGTACTATACGTCAAGAGAAAACGTCTGGCTGCAAAACAAGTTTAACACCATCTAATAGTACTACAAAAGTATATATATATACTATATACTGAACTTCTGACATGCAAGATATACCCCCCACCCCCCCCCATAATAGAAGACCACTGCCGATTAAATAACTTGAAAGCCAAATAGAAGATCACTGGTCTTCTGTTATGTCCGTAAAAAAAATCGGAAAATGATTCGATAGGCTCATCGAGTTCCTTACGACACACTCATTTTTAAGGATTACACACATTCATAATAAACTGTTCTTCAGGATTACTATTTTTACTATTTTGTCCCCCTAGGAAAGGATAGAGTTTTGGTACGTATTTCGAGCAGTATACAAGTTTGAACATCAGCGATAGGATCGTGGGACTCGTAGAGTTCTCTATAACACACGCTTTTAGGTGAGTGACACACGTCTATGAGAGAATGTTTGTCAGAAATGTTAGTATATTAAACCAACGTATTTTACATTTTTTGCCAGAAATGCAAACGATTTTCAATCAGTTGCTTTTAAATTTTTTCCAAATATTTCGATAACCGGATATAAATTTTGATCAGATTTCAAAAGATGTATTGTTAGCTTAGGATTATAAGATGATGCAGTAGTAGAATTAGAAAAAGTTCCTGGGAAGATATTTCATTTAAGCATTATATTATGAAATTATACTGGAACAGTACTTTAACCTAGTAATTATCTTCTCATTATTTATATTTTAGATTTATTTAGCAAAAATTGCAAAAAATTGGGAGTTGCCCATCTCCACCACTTAAAGCATTTGGATCAAATATTGTTCATCATTAAATTGGCCATTAGCTAGTGTATATAAAACACTATTTAAATCATTAAAAAAGTAGCTTTCGTTTTTCACCTAATTTCCATGTGATTGCCCGCTGTGCTACAATACACTTTTAGAGTGGAAAAAATCCTCTTTCTTCTCCTCTTTTCCCCACACTAATCCTCTGAAAAAAGTTTAGAACAACCTCTTCTGTCCTCTTTTTTTCAAAATGATCGTTTACAAGCCAGGGCATCATTCATCAATGATGTTCTCCAAAAAATCCGAATTTAACGCTGATCAACTCATCAGAGAGTCAGTTTGCCTAGTGTGTGGGACAAACCTTCACTATCTGTTGTTTAAAGACTATTATCTAACACTATTTTATTTTATTGTTCGATATTGTCTGCCTAATCAGTTTTATAAACTACAAACCATTCGCTACAGAGAAATATTCTATTTATTATGACTTGTACATATTTAACCATTGTTTTAGGGTTGCCTTCGATCCATTTTCATACAATAAATTGACTACCTGTTGAACAGAATCAACAAATTTCTCATTTGTACCCAGCTCACCAAACACTTGTTTGACAGCTAATAAATGCTTAACATTCGGTTTTATTTTATTTGCAATTTCTTTCAAATTTAATTGATCTGCTAATGAATCTGATATAATTATTGGTCTATTTTGTTCATCGACCCCAGTTATATAGCGTAACCAAGCACCAATAGCCAATGATGAAAAATGTATTTTCGGTTTGTCTGATTTTAATTGTTCAACAACTGTTGGATTTAAATATTTTGAAAATTTTGATGCGCCATCCATACACACACGCATAGCAGTATCTTTTATATTTGAATTTGAAAAACGTGTAATTAATGTAGTTTTATATAAATTTAAATCGATGCCAGGAACAGGAGGTAATGTCGATGTAACTTCATCATTCATCAAATATTCAATATATTCTTTTATATCTTGATCAAGAATAATTTCATGAATATAACGGTAACCCATTAGATAGCCTAAGTAGCACATCGCTGAATGACTTGCATTCAATAAACGCATTTTCATACATTCGTAAGCTTCAACATTGTCAGTAAGTATTACATTATATGACGATAAATTTTCTAAAGGCGGACGATTATTACAAAAATTATCTTCAATAACCCATTGAATAAACGGTTCAGTTATGACTGGCCATTTATCATTAATTCCACATTTATTCAGAACGTAATCGCGATCTGCATCGGTTGTCGCCGGTGTTATACGATCGACTGGAAAATATTTAAAGATAGACTTATTCGAGTGCTTTATATTCCCATTCATGATACATATTCGTAAAAGGTAAAAATGTTGAAGAGCCATTGCACGTAAGTCACGACCGATGTTCTTCAATCGATTTTCTCAAAACTTTTCCAGAGTGGGAACGCTTGTAGACCAAATATTTTAAGGAATTTTGGTAAAAGGGGGAAATCGTAAAGTTGTATCGTTGCTGAGATATTGAAATTTTACGAAAAGCCCCGAAAAACGTGGATTCTGCCATCTTGAAAATTGCCAACTTTAAACTCTTGAGACTCAATAACCACAGATTACTTAATCTTGGAGATT